TTTTACGCCGCCGCAATGCGTGTATGAGCCTCGCTGGCTCCGAATCCGCTTTGACACGCTGTGAATAAAACATTGTTTTGTTCCAATCAGTGCAGCGCGTCGGGCCTGCGCCATGGCTCCCGTCTCTGGCTATTCAGTGCTGACTGGAGATGCGGTTATGCTGGCTGATTGGGAAAGATCATGCAATTGCCCCTCCCATCACATCCATCTAGGGTGGCCTACAAGCAGGTGAGTTGGCAGGAGAGCAGCTGGTCTAGCACTTCATGTGCCACCCATAAGCGTTGCGCTGTTGCGGGCCGCCAACAAAAAGAAAGGCCTCACCCGCCACCGGGCTTCCCAGCTCTGCAACCACTGACGGCCGTTCCCAAAGCCATGATGGTCAACAAGCGTTGCTAGTCTGCAGGTAGAGGCAGCAACACCAACCAGCATGCAGGAAGAGCCGCAAAGATCGCAATACCTTGGACATGAAGCCCGTACTGTTGCAAAGCCCTCTCTCCCTGCCCTACCGCTCTGCATCGGGCCGCACTATCTCTAGCAGCTCCTCGTACTCATGCCGCTTGATGGGCCAGCCGTCAGGCTGCAGGCAGACATGCGGTGTTCAGAGCAGCTTGAGAGCACACAAACATCGGGATAAGCAAATCGGGCCTTGTAACCTGCGCTTGCCCATCCAAACAGTGTGCCACGGCCGTGCTGCTCTAATCCCATCTTGTTTCCAGCGACCTACGCAAAGCCACCCACCTCCTCGCCCTCCTGCAGCTCCCCCTTCTTCTGCAAATGTTGGGCACGCGTATTGTTCCTGGCCAATGTAGGCGGGCCCTCCCCTGCTGAAGGCGTGGGCTGATCGGGGCTAATGCGCAGGAAGCTGCAAAGGTGGGGACAAGCAGGGAAGTCGCCAGCGTGTGCGTTGGTGGGCATACTGGCTGTCGGGGAGTTGCACATGTGGCAAACACTTCCGCTGCAATGCTCCCCTCCCGTACTGCAGCTTACTGCTTGATGTCCCGCAAGACCTGGATGCCATGCTCTTGGGAGGTAAGGTTCTCATACTGTAGCAGGAGCAAGGGAGCAGATAGAAGGGGTGAGCACCAGCACAGAAAAGCGTAGCGACGGGTGTTGTCAGAGTCACTCGTGGCAACACTTGCATCCTTGACATGTACCACACCTGCACGAGATGCAACTGTGTGCGGGGCCAGGTCGCCAGCCAGGCCGACCAGGGCTCCGTGTAATTGAAACCTGGCAGCTGGCGCTTGAGGCAGGTGTATGCCTCGCGCCTGCACCATAGTCAGATAGGGAGGCACAGACTTCCTTTCAAGCACAACAGAGTGTTAGCCTCTGTCGTTGTGGCCCACTCACTTGGTGAGGCATCCTTTGCTGTTCACATCCCTGTTGTGTGCCAACATGGAGATGGCACGACTGCAGGTCAGAAACGGGCACGCAGGCTGGTGAGCTGACCAGTCGACGGGACAAGGTGATATATGCGCACCTAGTGCGCAGATAGCAATGGGTGTGGAAGGCTTGCTTGCCCTTACAAACCTGATGGGTTCGCGCATGGACGCAATGATCTTAAGCCAAGGAAATACCTGTAGGCACGAGGAGCACAGAGGCGCAAGGGCCTTGCATGGAGAGAGAGGAGAGCGAGTGCGGGAGGGAAGGCAGGCAGGCATGCCATTCTGCAGCGGTCTCGTTGTACCTTGAAAATCCCTTCCGCTAAAAGCTGCCCATTGCGGCCATAGTGTGTGGATGCCTCTGCTGATGCAGCCACCAAGTCACTTTGCAGCACTTCCCGGTTTTAACGTCTAGCTTTAGACCATTATTTGATCTGCCCGACGCGCCAAGTGCAGTACCCCCCACTAGATTCATTCAGCACACAGACCGGCCGCCTCTTGCTCGAGGGCGGCCCACTTTGGCCTGGGCAGCCCGGGCCGCCCTCCCCCCGGGCGCATGTTCAGTGTTGGAGGGGTGTGCCCAGCGATAGGGGGCCCCTGAAGGCATGCGCCGAGGCCGGGAAGCGTGGTTCGGCGCTGCTGCACGCTTGGCGACTTGAACAGAACCGCGTGCCGCCGAGCTGCGGCTGCAGTTTCCGGCCCACAGTCTACGGCCGCAGCCACGGGACTCGGCGGCACGGCGTTTGGGCCCAAGCTTGCTGCTGCCGCCGCCGTGCCTGGGGGGCAGCGCGGCGGCGGCGGCGGCACGCTGCGACGCCCCCGTGCCGCCGAGCTGCGGCCGTACCTTCCTGCCAGAAGCCCACGGCCACAGCCACGGGACTCGGCGGCACGGCGTTTCGGTCCACGGCTTGCTGCCGCTGCCGTCGCAGGGCTGCTGCCTGCGGCGGCGGCGGCACGGCGGTTGGGTCCACGGCTTGCTGCCGCTGCCGCCGCCGCAGGGGTGCTGCCTGCGGCGGCGGCGGTAGCGCACGTGGCAACCCCCGCGCTTCCTTGGCTCCCATCCACCGGACCCCGTCCTGCGCTTCACTTTGTTTCGGGAGGGGCTGCTCACTGCTCATTGCTCATTGCTCATCGCACACTGCTCAACGCTCAT